GGGTGTCCATTTTCTCTTCTCCTAAGGACATTAGTCATATTGAATCAGGGCCCATCCTAATGACCTCACTTTAACAGGATTACATCTGGAAAGACCCTATTTCTGAACAAGCTCACATTCACAGATACCAGGGGTTAGGGCTTTTGGGGGAACACAGTTCAACTCCTAACACGTACTTTCAGATCAAAGAACCTCTGTATTGTCCTTGCTTTAATAGTTATGCTACATTAAATACATTTACCAAGCACCTGGCTGACACCCTTCCTATGTAAAATGTCCATAAGTAGGAGGCTTCGGGTTTTGTAAAAGTAAGTACTGACTTTATAAATTCTGCAGTTAGATCAATTAAAATATTTTAGCTCTGTTTTGGATTGAGAGCAGTTAGAAATAAATATTCAGGCCATTGACAGTAAGAGAATCCCAGTATGATGTATTCATTGTACATCCATAGGGAAAAATACAGCCTCATGATGTTTTGATAAAGATGGAACCCACAGCTTTGTAAAATGATAGAATCTTAAAGAATTGTGCAGCCAAGCAAATCTTGTTATGGACTTGCTTACTGGCTTTTAAAAGTGGGAGAGTTTGAAGTAGCTATGGTTTCTGTGGTGAACTCCGCCAGCAGTGGCCGTTGTCTGAGCACCTGCCACGCGAGGGCTCTGTGCAAAGTTCTGGCTTAGCTGCACCTAGTCTGCCCTTGGAGAGCAGTGCACTCGGACGTGTTTGCTAACTGATTCTCACGGCAGCCTCCCCGGCGGAGTAACTTCCCAGCTGTACAGAGGAGGAATCTGAGTTTCCCAAAGGTTAAAATGCTGTCCCTGAGGTCACATAGGCGTAAGCGGTTCCAGGTCTGTCTGGATTCCAGACATTCAGCAGCTCCTCAGTGTAGTGTCTCGCCCACGGTCAGCCTCCTGAAACACAGAGGGTAGCTTGTTGCTGTTGCAGATTTCACATCAAAGGGCTCTCAGCCTCATTCAAGGGTTGGAAATAAACATTAAATAAGTGTTGGGAGAATACTAACAGAAATCTGGGAAGTCTTAGATTCAGTACTGTCCCTCTGTTCGGAAGAGTTACTAGAGCTGTTTTTGGATATTCTCATTTTCTCCCTTTCTTATGAGGTAGGATTGTCCTTTCTTGTCCCCTGTGAGGCTATGTATGGCCATGTGGCTTGTTTTGTCTAAAGAAATAGTAGTGGAAGTGACCCTTAGGTCCTCTGGCAGAAGTTCCAAGAGCCGGTGTGAAATGCACCTCGTTCTTGCGATTGTCCCGGCACAAGTGGAGGGGGACTGTCCCTCTGCCTGTTCCCCGGTCCCTGAGTGACTGTGGTGAGCAGAGCCTCTGCTAGCTCAGCCTGGATGAGGAGAGGAGGGAGGTGTGCGGCATGGAACCTTCTGGTTGTGTTAAGCCACTGAGATTTCAGGATCTTTGTAATGGCTGCAATTTCCAACTCATTGTGGCTGATTCGACAAATTAAAGGACAAAACATACAAAGTGGAAATTCACCAAGGATTTCCAATAGAGAAAATTATTTTAAAAATAACTCCTTAAAGCTTCTTGTAGGAGACTCCCTTAACATGTCTAAAATATTAAAATGGGAAGCCTAACGAATAGCTTTGCTGCCTGAAGGTTTGAGGCCAAAGCTGTATTAATTAAACTCACGAGATGGTTAGATAACCATCTAGTTCTATGACATTATTTTTCCCTTCTATATTGAAAACGTTGGTCTACCAAGAAATGTTTGTTCATTGTTCTTGCGCTAAAGCAAATAGTTTGACAGGCAAGGAGTAGGAAATGGGTGGCTGGGAAACCAGAGGACACAACGAACAGTGACACCTTTATCCGGGCAGCACTGTGAGAACAATGACGGGCTTTACTCTTAATTTCTGTTGCAAGAGGAGCATGCGTTAAAGACGGGTCTTCTGTTACACTTAGTATCTGGTTTCTGGCCTGGAGTTGCTGGCGTAACCTGGCTTTAAATTCTCCTTTGCCTTGCAGTTACTCAGCGCGGTGTTTGAGAAGTCTTTGTTTACTCCTGATGGCTTGCACTTATTTATACCTCACTCCACAGACAATAAACTCAGTTTTTAATGAGTAAAGCCATGGTTTTAGAAACCTAGAGCTGTTGCAACTTGACCAGAGACATTTTCCGACATTTCCCTGTGAGTTGGAATAAGATAAATGACAATGGATATAGAGGAGTTTGCTAGATTTCAGAAAATCTGTAAGTCAGAAAACTGGTCATCTGCCATAAATGTGTACTGCCTAGTTGAATCTTAGACCTGGCATCTTCTTTCATTTGATATACTATGGTTTGTTATATTACTATTTAAACATTTCTCTGACATAAACTTCATTGAGGAAAAAGGAGGCATTGTCTTTTGAACTAGGGTCAAACAGTGACGCACCATTTATTATTAGAAGTACTAATAATTGTAAGACTACTATGCTTTTAATATATGAATAATTCCAATATTTTGGTCTTTTAAGATTTAACACGAGTCAAGTCATTTTTGTTATTTTAGTATTCCTGTTGAGAATATTGGAGCTAGTATCAGCTTTAGAGATGATCTAGTTTGGGGCCCTCATTTCCTTGGAGAGGAATCTTTTTCAAACATTATCTGACATGACATCCAATACGCAATGCAGATTCTTAAAATTACAAAGTTTTATAACTCCAAACATACTTATGATAGGGGCAATTAGTGAGAGGGAAAATACTATTTTGGACAACAGAAAGACTTCATTTAAAAGGGCCTTAGCCTTCACTTTGTATTTTGTTGCATTTGGCAAGTACTTGAAAATACTGAATTACATGGTAAGTAGCTGCAAGTGGTAACGGTTTTTATGAGTGTGTTTTACAAGGTTCACTCTGAATTCTTAGGAGACTCCAGGTTTATAGGACCACAGAAAAGTTAATTTAGTAGCACAAGTTAATGAAATGTAAAACTATCGAGCTTGAGTGTTACTATTTAAAAAATCTAGCTTTGAGGTAATTAAAGAAAATCAAATAAAAAATTTACAGAATCCCAAAACTGCATAGAACAGCATTTGAAAACTAATTATGCTGTATGTAACAATATCTCTGTAGAGTGACAGTATAGATTCTGGTTGTACGATTTATTTTTTTAGAGAAATTGTCAAATGTTGGAGAAAATGTGAAAATCTCTCTTACTGAAAAGGGTTGAGTTATCATGAGTAAATACTCATTAAAAAATAAGTTGTGTTCTGGAAGTTTCAGAAATTTAAAAAAAAATTTCTATTTGCCCAGCTGGGCATGGCTCAGCGGTTGAGCATGGACCTACGATCCGCGAGATGGTGGTTCAATTCCCGGTTGGGGCACATGCCCGGGTTGCGGGCTGGATCCGCAGTCGGGGGGCGTGCAGGAGGCAGCAGGCAGCCAATCAGTGATGGCTCTCTCATCACTGATGTTTCTCTCTCTCTCCCCCTCTCCCTTCCTCTCTCTGAAATCAATAAAGATATATATATAAAGAAATAACAGATGTCTTTAAAAAGAAAATTTCTATTTTCCACAATATTAAGAGTGGTTGCCAGCCCAGCCTACGAATTATGTATCCCTTCAGTGACTGAAGTCATAACATTTAGCTGTCTGTGATTATGTACGCACTTTTAACTTAGCTTGGCATTCCGTTTATTATTGTTTGTCCTCTGAGGATACGTTTATTGACTTTAGAGAGAGGAAGGGAGAGGGAGGAGAGAGAGAGAGAAAGAAAGAGGGAGAGAGAGAGAGAGAGACATCGATGTGAGAGAAACATCATTCGGTTGCCTCCCATATGCACCCTGGCAGGGGATCGAACCTGCAACCTTTTGGTTACCCACCAACCGAGCAGCCTGGCCGGGGCTCGCTTGACACTCTAAAAGATCTTCATGGCTCTTTCCATGGGATTTTTAAAAATCTGATGTGCAACGTTGGATTGGAAACTTTCCACTCCCATTGTGTGGTAGCAAAGGAGAGTAGTGAGGTTTTTTTGTTCCCTGGTTGGAGAATTTTTATCTGTGCACGAAAGCAAGTAATGTCTCCTCTTTGAAGAAGAATCCTGGATCCTGGTGTTAGAAAGGAATTCTGAAGATGCCCTACTTTATGTGCCTTTACTTGCATGCTTCTGTAAAGCTGTGCAAAGAGGAAATTTCCAGAAGCAAACACATTTTGCACTCCTTTAGCAAGCTGGTGTTTAAAGGAACCCTGGGGCAAATACTTTTGCAAGGCAAATGCTCCTCTAAGGTGGCATCTGGGTAATGGGAAAGCTCCTGGGGCTTTAAAAAGCCTTTGGAACTGCCGCACTCCCCCCACTGATGAGAGTAATCAGTGCAACCGGTTGTCCTTGAAGACAATGCCCAGTTGCCAAAGCAGCCAGTGGCCCCAGTCCCCCTGTGATCTGGGGCATCATACCTCCTAGTTACCAGCCACTTGGTGGTGCCAGGCATTCCTCTGTGGACTGGCAGGCATCTCAGACTGCCGCCAGCTTCATATTAAATTCCACGCAGTGATTATAGGCTATATGGCTCCAAAGTTAAATTGAGAACTAAAAACAAAAGCATTCTCACCAGTGATTTCTCATGCCACTTCCGACGGACGAGTCCAGGAAACAAGGATAGCATGAGGATGGCTTGTGGTTTTCGATGTGGAATTATATAGGCAATTGTTATGTGTCAAAAATTATAGTCCATAAGACCCTGCGTTCAAATTCTGAATCCACTGCTTGCATAACACTGCGGAGGGACTCATTTAATTACTGAGGCTTGACGCGGGGGTTTGTGTGAGGCTGATGGCCGTCCCTGTAAAGACCATGAACGTGCCATGTAGTGCGTAGTAGGCTCTTTACTAATCCGTAGTCATTTTTGTCATTTCATTGTTAATACTATTAATATTTTGAAGTCTTATTATGCCTAGGGAAATGTTACCAGAAAAGGTAAATAAAGAGGAGTAATGAAATTCTGGTTTCTAACGCCCCTTTTCCACCCCCGTCCTGTTCCCTCTGCAGATTGTGACAAACTGCGGCGGGATGGCTCCCGGAGCTCCCAGTACTACTCCCAGGGCCCCACCTTCGCCAGCTCTGGTCCACCCAGCGACGAGTATCAAGGTGAAGATGAAGAAGCAGATCAGAAGGTAAGGCTTCCAAAGTCAACCTGGGACCCTGGATTGGACCCCAAGTTAATTTCTTAGTTTTGACAAGTGTCCCATGGCTACAAAACACGCCAGCATTAGAGGGGACCAGGTGAAGGGTACACAAGGAATTCTCAGTGCTATCTCTCTAAGTTTTCTCTAAGCCTAAAATTAGTCTCAAAAAAAAAAAAAAAAGTTCCTGATCCAAAGAAGTTATTCAAGGAGCATAATAAGTATATTTGTGCATTTTGAATATTCTCTTTTGGGTAAAACAAACAAAAGTCTTATTTCTCTTTTTGGGTTTGTTGTGTTTTTTTTGTCATGTGACCAAGAACTTAAGTACAAGAGCCAAAAGCCACTGTTTCACAAGCAGGCGGTGTTTTTACGTAGATCCCGCAGAGGCCGTGGCTTTGCTTAGTATCACAGCGCTGGTCAGTCACTTCCGTGGTGCTGTTTCGTCCGCACTCCTTTTTCTCACGCCATCTCTTGTGATAAGTGCAAACTACTCAACACAGATATATTTTCTCAGCATTAAGTGCACATGAAAGAATAACAATGTATGGCGATTTTTAACTTACATAGTTTTATTTTTCATTTTATTAAGCAATGTTGACTGACACAGATTACTTAAACAAATGAGGTTTGATGAACAGGGTTTGGTTTAGAAACCATTTTAAATTAACCTAAGAAATTTCAGTGGAATTAGGTCAATACATCACTGTCTCATTGTTTGAAGAACATTATTCAAAATTTATTATCCTTCCTCAAATAACTAACATCAGAGGAAAAAGTAGGTAACAGTTGTTTAAAAATAGGAAATTACTACCTTAAACTTTTGTTCTTCTAATGAAGATTGGACCCAGGTTTTTATTACAGAATGTTTTTCCTATTTCTTTACAGGTGTTTTTACACATTAGGTTAGTCCTTTGAAACTCTAAAGTATACATAGAAAGTCTCTTACTGTAATAGGAAAAGCAGCTATTTCAAAGCTGATCTGGTTTTTAATTTTAAAAACCTATTTTTTCTCTTGTTGGCAGGAGTAGGAAAAATTAAAATCAGAAGACGAACTATATCATGGGAATTTTGTTTTGATCTAAAAATTTTTTCAGCTTTATTGAAGTATAATTGACAAATAAAATTGTGCATAGTGCAATGATTTGACATACGTATACTTTGTGAGAGGATCATCACACTTGGGTTAATTAACACATCCCATCACCTCACATAGTTACCGTGTATGTGTAAGATGAGAGCGCTTAAGGTCTATTCTCTTAGCAAATTTCAAGTACACAGCACAATGTTATTAACTGTAGTCAGTCACCTGCTGTACGTTAGATCCCAAGGAGCTTATTCATCGTAAACTGAAGGCTTGCACCCTTTGATCAGCCTTTTACTGGTGCTCAGGGTAGGAGGAGCATCCAGTTTATAGTGGGACCCAGAGAAACAGAGGTGGTTCCTGGGTGCAGCGTTGTGAGTATCCAGAAGGACAGATTGGCATTACCAAGACCATATTCTAAGATCTTCTGGAAAATGGAAAGGTAGTTTCTAAATTCTCACATTTGAGGGAAGTTCAGTCTCTGTGAACGAGTTTCTACTCTTATGTGTGTCGCCACGGACCCCTCCAAGCAGCCCTCACCTAAATGTGTGAGAGAGTGTGAACAAGTCATTTCCCCTTAGAAAACAGGGCTCCTGTCATGTTGAAAATGAGTCAGATAATGATCATATGTACACACACACACACGAAAGTCATCCTTTATGACATAATGTAAAATAAAATGACATGACATGTCCCAGTAAGCTTAAGAAGTACCTCAGTGTATCGCTTCTCTGCCTGGTGGCTAAGACCAAGCATAGATACCTGTTCTTATCAGTTTAACATCTGATATGTCTTCTCTCCAAGGACAACATATTAAATGGATTTTTGGAGCAGGGAGATGGAATAGGAGCTTGCTCAGTCCACGTGTAACCTCGACCTGGTATTGCACTTCTTCTGGGAATGGTGCACCTCCTCCAGGGCAAAAAAAAAAGGACCTCAGTGTGATTTGGTAGCACTGGGCCCAATACAGTGGGAAACACAAGATGATTACAGGACCTTAGACAGATCTCTTGGGGCCACCTGTTCCTTCTGTAAAATGGAGTCACAGGGTAGTGTGGGGTAGCAGGGAGGAGGGTTTCCTGAGCTCCCCACAACCTCCTCTGAGTTACAGTTTCTACCACACTGGCTGGACTCATGGCCTTCCTGTATTTGGGTCCTCACAAAAGCACTTAGCTGCTTCCTTATGGATCCTTGGTTGAAAGTGTTTTGAAATCCTTGGAATATATTGTTGTTAGTGATATTTAAGGGGAACTTTTTTCTTAACTATATAGGACCAAGTTGAATTACATTCAAAAATTTCTAAATCATTAGATTTGAATGTTTTCTCAAAATAGCTTCTGCTATGAAATTTGTTTCAGAATAAAATAAATACCAAATCATATAATGTATTAATTATAAAGATTATATATTAATTAAAAATCAACTAACAAGTTATACTATCATATTAACTCGTATTTAAAAATAACTTCCTTCTCTCTCTCCCTTCTCTGGCCCTCATCTCTGTTACATTGCATCATTCAATGTTGTGTTAACTTACACACGTGTTTCTTGGTTCCATGGAGCATCAAAAAACCCACTTTCCATCCCATGGCTGCATATCTAATTAGATGGTCTTGAGCACGTTCTCCATGTATGTTTTTTGTTTATTCGTAATTATTGGATTAATTACAGTGCTCTCTATCAAAGACTGTGCTTTTTTTTCCTTCTTAACAATAGGCCTGGCCGGGCATGGCCCAGCGGTTGAGCATTGACCTAGGATCTAGGGGATCTCAGTTCGATTCCCAGTCAGGGCACGTGCCTGGGTTGGGGGCTCAATCCCCAGTGGGGAGCGTGCAGGAAGCAGTCAGTCAATGACAACTCTCTCATCATTGATGTTTCTCTCTCTCTCTCTCTCCCTCTCTCTCTCCCTCTCCCTTCCTCTCTCTGAAATTAATGGAGATATATTTAAATACATATATATATATATAAAGTTAGCAAGACTTAGTATTGCTTTCACTGACAGAGGTCTTGAAATTGGTATGGAGATTAACACTTGTATGTCCTGTGCTTCTTCTGCCCGTCCCTATGGGTCCCTCTCCCTAACTTGTGCTCTGGTATCTTCAGGTCAAAGTGAAGGTTCCTTCGTGTGCACCCCACACAGAGCTTAGTGCGTGATTGGCTACTTAGCTGGCCCATTCATTCAACAATCATTTACTGAACAATTACTACTCAGTAAACATTCACCCTGACTCAGAAGTTGTTATTAATCTTTGTGACCCTCGCCAACATTCACCACGTCACAGTGTTACACTCTTGCTCCCAAGCTGTGTGGCCACCAGCGGTCATCATTTAGACCCAGACATGTTCCTTTATCCCTCCTCAACATGTTCTTCAACAGAGCTACTTTAAGCACAGAATTACAATTCACTTTTAAAACAAGTATTTATTGAGCACCTCCTATATGCGCGGGACTATTCTCTGAGCTTGGAGACACTAAGAGTAAATAAGCAGTGGTGCTGCATTAGAAAGTCGCATGTGCTCTGCAGTAAAAGAAAGCAGAATAAGACAGGAGGTTACAACTTTAAATTAAAAGGGTAGGCCTGGCCCTGGCTGTTTTGGCTCAGTGGTTAGAACATCAGCCCGTCGACTGAAGGGTCCTGGGTTCGAATATGACCAAGGGCATGTACCTTGGTTGCAGGCTCGATCCCCGCCCCGGTTGAGGCTCATATAGAAGGCAACCAATTGATGTGTCTCTCACATTGATGTCTCTCTCTCTCCCTCGCTCTCTCTCTTTCCCTCCTAGTATCTCTGAAAAGCAACGGAAAAAATATCCTCAAGTGAGGATAAAAAATAAAATAAAAAGAATAAAGAAATTAATTAAAAGGGTAGCCCTTCCTGAGCAAAGAGGTGATTGGGATTAAAAGAGTGAGCCATGCAGAAGTCTTGGAGAAGAACATTCCATAAAGAAGCAGTCAGCAGTCAGTGCAATAAATGTTTCTTACGGAGATATGCTATGCACCAGATTATGCAACATGAAAAAGTTATTAAGATATCTGTACTTGCCTCAAGGAATTTACAGCTCTCACGTAGGGAGAACTAACCAGAATAAAGAGTTTTATGTATAGGCATACCTCGTTTTATTGTGCTTTGTTTTAGTGTGCTTTGCAGATATTGCTTTTTTTTTTTTTTACAAATTAAAGATTTGTGGCAACCCTGCCTCAAGCAAGCCTGTCTGCACCATTTTTTCAACAACAGTTGCTCACTTTGTAAAGTCTCTGTGTCACATCTTGGCAGTTCTTGCAATATTTGAAACTTCATTATTATTATTATTATTATTATATTTGTTATTGTGATCTATTATCAGTGACCTTTGATGTTACTAGGGCAAGACCCTCCACCAACAGAAAGATTATGACTCACTGAAGGCTCAGATGATGGTTAGTATTTTTAGCAATAAAATCTTTTTTATTAAGGTATGTGCATTGTTTTTTAAATAATGCTATTGCACACTTAATAGACTACAGTGTAGAGTCAACACAACCTTTATTTGCACTAGGAAACCAAAAAATTGTGTGACTCACTTTATTGCGACATTCACTCTATTTTTGTGGTCTGGAACAGAACCCTCAATATCTCCAAAGTATGACTGTATTTTACGTGCAACAATAATTAGTTGTGAAAGAGAAATTCTTCTGATTTGAGCAGTCAGGAAATGAGGGGAGGTTTGGAAGAGGGTAAGGTCTTTAAGAAGGATAGTTACAGGGCTGTTGTAACAGGCAAAACATAATAAGGACCAAGAGTGGCTGTGTGAAGGGTGAGGAAGTGGGGGAGTTAAGAGATGACGTTAAGAGACATGGCTTTTTAGCACTTGGGAGACAAATTTCAAGTCTTAGTTCTGCCACTTGCTGTTTTCTTTGGATGTATCATG